TGTTGTCTTTTCATCACCACCACCAAATGTCCTGTTCTTAAGCATCTAGCAAGTGAAAAGTGGTTATCAAAAAAGAATTGATAAAGGTTTGATTTATTCGGATTCTCGCATTCTACCAAGTATCTTCTTATAAGTATACAAAAAAAAAATTATCTTCTTATGAGGTAATCTTTTGCAGATATCAACAAAATCAAAACAAAAAAAGTGTACATGGAAGATCGAGAGATTGGATGGTTTAAAGTTGTGAATAAGTGAGATTGACATTTTTCTAGTTCAAATGTGTTTTTGTTTTCTCATTTTAAAAAAGAGTTCAAGTATGTTTTTGTCATTTTAAACTAAGGTTTGACTTTCACCTAAATTTGTTTCATTTTCACTTTTTAATTAGACATTGGTGTGACAATTCTTTCTAATTGGGACAATTTAGTTACACTACGGAAGTATGTGATTATTTTGAAGAGTATTATTACACTAACTTAAATAGGGATAAAAAAACATAAAATTAATGATGCCACATATTAGAATGAGATAAATTTGAATTTTAAATATGTAAAAATAAAACGAACAAAACCATTATAATAATGTCACATCGTTTAATCATTGTTTTTTGTCCCATTTTCTAGTCAATATAACATTTCTCTTGTTTTAAACTATAGTAGAGTGAAGTACTTGAAAGACAAATAAAGGGAGTTAAAATTAGTTTGCCAAAAATAAAAATAGGGTATAATTTGTAATTAGTTTATCAACTTTGCCTGCATTTTTAATTNCAAGATTTTCTTTGACATCATATGTGAGATTCATCTGAATAACACATGGACCCGGTTTGATGAGTGTGCCCCAATTGAACTGGATGTTTGTTGTAACAAGTGACCCAATTCCATTCTAGTGCAAAACAACCTCAATTNCCCATGAAACTATACAACCCACCTTGACCATCACTTATGTATCAGGTTCTATGTCAAAGTACATTATTCTTTCCATTTCCTTTTGTTATTACTTGATTTCTCTCTCCTATTGTGCTCAAGTTATGGTTCATGTAATGTATAATATATGGGATGTGGATTTTATGTAGATGTTAGTTTTATTTTATTTTTGTGTGAATTTTTTGTTAATGGCAGGTCATTGTGTAATTGAAGTGCCGATTAGTTGTTTTGTTTCAAACTTTAGATCGAGGCAGCAAAATGGATTTTCTGAAGTCATTTATTGTTATAATATTGTTGTCTAGATAGTATTTTGGAGTAAACAAGCCCCCACGAAGGTTTGTTGTTAATTTAAGTCATAAATGGTTTTTATCTTAAATACTATTTGATTGGTGATTTAAAACAACACTAATACTATTGGGACCAAATTTGGGGACTTGCATACTCATAAAATTTAAAATGTTAACTTAATTATGAGGAGTCAAAGTTATTTTTGGTATATCTATATGTTGCTAGATGAGTCTGAGATATAGTAGGAATAACTATTCTTCCATAAGGTTGAAAATTGAAACACTCATATAATCCAATTAACAATATTGATAAAAATTATAACACAACATAATTCATGTGTAATGCATATGTGCATCAACTAGTACTACTAAAAACAACTAAAGCAAAACAATATTTTTTACCATAATTACCCTTGAACAATTGTATAAAATTAGATTAGTGCCACATTAATTATCCTCAAACAATCTATTATATTCTATTAGTTAATCTCAAAACTTTTATTTTTCTTTTTTATCCCTTGTATGTTATTCTAATCCATGTATATTAATTAGACCCTTAAACCCGCTTCGTTTAACTTCACAATGCCATACCTCCGTCTCTTTGTCTTTCACGGCTGGGGTTCTCCTCCTCCTCTCGCTGGCGCATATACTCTACCGTTCTTCTTCCCAGCTATTATAACCAACTTCCCCATGAATAATGTCCTCAATCTCAATTTCAAACGTTTCAAATTTGCTACAAATAATAAATATGCATGCAATACATTAGTTATTGCATGAAACGTAATACATCAGTTAAACCCTTAAAAAATCTTATGATTTTCAATTCAAACTGCTGTATTTCTCACCGTGCGTCTATAATCATTGGGCTTGTTAAATAGGTAACGATTCACTCTCTCTTTCTCTCCCTTATACACACATGACCTTTGTTTCGAATTTGAAACCCTAGAAATTATGGCACGACAGTGAATCACTATCATAGACGAAGCGATTGTTTGGCGGTAAACAGGCTACACTCCTCCCTCTTTAACTTATTTACTTTCAGATTCTGTTGTGTGTGTGTGAATTATTTTATAGATAGTATACATAAGGGCGAAGAATAAGACAATTGTAGATAGCGTCACTTTTAAAAAAAAAAAAAAATCTTTGTACATAGATGACAATTTTGTAATTTTTTTGTTTCCGCTTCTGTTGAGCCGTTGAGTTGTAGTTACATTGATTTTGGATGATGGGTCTTTCTTTAATTTTTGATTTCAATGTTTGTTGGCTGCTTTGAATTTTGTGTTAGCAAGTTTTGGTTTTTAAACTTTTCTTAGTCATATTTGATTCTATAAATTTTATCATGTGATATAAGATTACTAGTTATTACTTGTGCTTGAAGGCATGAAGTAATATAAAAAATGGTTAATAATAAACATCTTTATATTCACACTCAGAATCAAATCACAAACATAGAAGAGAGAAAAATTCCTTAAGCACTAGTTATAGTGGGGGGTGAGCGGTTATAGTGGTGGTAAGTGGCAACAGTGATTTGTGGTGGGAGATGATGATGGTTATGGTGGGTGGCAACAACCGTAGTGATGGTGGTAGTCATGAGTGGCAACGATGATGACGGTGGTGAATTTTGGGTGAAAATGATGGTAGTGACAACTATAGGTGACGGTGGTGGGTGTGGGTGGCGGTGGGTGACGGTGATGGTGGTTGGTAATGGTGTTGGTGGGGGCGACCACGGTGGTGATGGCTGTGGTGAGTTGTGGTAGTGGGTAGTGACGATGGTGGTGGTGGGCAGTAGCGATGTGTGCTTTTGGATGACAGTGTAATGAATGATGACAAATGTCAGTGGTGATGGTAGGCGTGGTGGGGGTGGGTAACAGTGGGGTGGCGACAATGGTGGACAATGACGGGTGATGGTGGTAGTGGGTGGCAGTGGGGTGATGGTCGACAACAACGGTGGTGGTGGGGGTTGACGGTGGGCAACAATGGTAATTGGATGTTAATGGTAGTGGTAATAAATATAAAAATAAGATAACGATAGTGGTGGGTGATGACAGTGGACAATAGTAATAGTAATCGGTGGTAAGTGACTGTGGGGGTGGTGGTGGCGCAGTGGTGAAGGTGGCGACAGTGAAGTGGTGGTGATGGTCGTGGTGGTAATGGTGATAGGGGGTGATAGTGGGACAGTGATGGTGGTGGTAGGGTGGTGGCATCTGTGATGGTGATGGTGGTAGTGAGACGGTGGTGGTGATAATGGTGATAATAGTGGAGGGTGTTAGTGGTGATGGTGGTGGTGGGACGGTTTCAAATAATACTTTTTTTTAAAATACTTATGATAAGTTATAAGTTTTAAAAACACTTAAAAAGTCAAACCTAAACACATCTTTAGAGTCTATTTTTCCTATTAAATTTAAACTGATATATTTGAAAAGGGTATTTTCTCAAGGAAGGACCAAATGTCCTGTTGTCTTTTCATCACCACCACCAAATGTCCTGTTCTTAAGCATCTAGCAAGTGAAAAGTGGTTATCAAAAAAGAATTGATAAAGGTTTGATTTATTCGGATTCTCGCATTCTACCAAGTATCTTCTTATAAGTATACAAAAAAAAAATTATCTTCTTATGAGGTAATCTTTTGCAGATATCAACAAAATCAAAACAAAAAAAGTGTACATGGAAGATCGAGAGATTGGATGGTTTAAAGTTGTGAATAAGTGAGATTGACATTTTTCTAGTTCAAATGTGTTTTTGTTTTCTCATTTTAAAAAAGAGTTCAAGTATGTTTTTGTCATTTTAAACTAAGGTTTGACTTTCACCTAAATTTGTTTCATTTTCACTTTTTAATTAGACATTGGTGTGACAATTCTTTCTAATTGGGACAATTTAGTTACACTACGGAAGTATGTGATTATTTTGAAGAGTATTATTACACTAACTTAAATAGGGATAAAAAAACATAAAATTAATGATGCCACATATTAGAATGAGATAAATTTGAATTTTAAATATGTAAAAATAAAACGAACAAAACCATTATAATAATGTCACATCGTTTAATCATTGTTTTTTGTCCCATTTTCTAGTCAATATAACATTTCTCTTGTTTTAAACTATAGTAGAGTGAAGTACTTGAAAGACAAATAAAGGGAGTTAAAATTAGTTTGCCAAAAATAAAAATAGGGTATAATTTGTAATTAGTTTATCAACTTTGCCTGCATTTTTAATTTAATTTATGAACTTTTAATTGTCTTAATTTAATCTAACAAACTCTTAATTTCGTCTTAATTTTATTGTTAGATTAAATAGGAGATTAGTCAATTTTGATATATTTCAATATTGATCTAATGATAAAAATGAACGGAATGACTTAATTAAGATCACATTAATAATTAAAAGATAGAATTGAGATAATTAAAAATTGAAGGACCAAATTATATCCAAGGCAAAGTTTAGGAACAACTTTCATTTTTACCCATAAAAATGTAAGAACANATGGAATGACTTAATTAAGATCACATTAATAATTAAAAGATATAATTGAGATAATTAAAAATTGAAGGACCAAATTAAATCCAAGGCAAAGTTTAGGAACAACTTTCATTTTTACCCATAAAAATGTAAGAACACTTCATGAGCCCACGCCAAAAGATGCTTGTGTCTGGGACCCAAATCCCAGTCCATTGGCCAACTGCACAGAGTCGCGGAGATAACTTCATATCATTTTACGGCTGAGAAGTTTGGACGATCGCATTTTCAAACTCCCTAGGTTCGTAGGGGTTTAGATTTTAGATCCAAAAAAAATCATGTTGCAGTGTATATTTCTACTCTCAGATTCTGGGTAAGTCTATAAAATCTCGTTAACATCTGTTGTTATTTCCTCCCTTGATTTTGAGAAAACTATATGAATCCGTAGTATGTTTCACATTGATTTCTTTTTTCGGGTTGCCCTAAAATCGGGGGCAAATTCAAGAAAACTTGGAACCTTGCGATTGCAATTCTGATAGATTTGGGCTCATATAAAAAAATTGCTTTTTGAATCTTGGTTCTCATCAATTAAACTGTTCTTCATAGGTTTTTTCCGATTTATATGCTTTGTTAATAAGGCAATGATTACGAATTGAAAAAAGATTTGTGGTGATCTGAATATGAATATAGGGAGGTAATGCTAGAGAAACAGCTCACAGGACACCGGGTTGACCGGTCCATATGTGCTTGGTTTTGGGAACAATCTATCTCTCAAGGTGATTCCTTCAAGGTACCTACATAAAAATATTATATTAACTTACTTTAAGTTTTAATTTTAATCTTGAAGTGATTCCTTTAACGTATCCTATAGTGATACCAATAGTCATATTAAGCTGCTTTTTTTTGTCGTAATTAATATTAAGTTACTTTCAGGTTTGATTTTAATCATCATCAAAGTATTTAAGTGCATTCATTCTATTATGTGCGCTCGTCATCTCTTATTAAATTTGCTTTTTGTTGGCTAATAGCTTGTACCAGTAATTGCTTCACCAACTCATTACCTTTTCCAAATTGTTCGTGAGGGTATCACTTTCTTAGCGTGTACCCAAGTTGAAATGCCACCTTTGATGGGAATTGAGGTAAGTTATTGAAATTAGTTGTTNCTCATTACCTTTTCCAAATTGTTCGTGAGGGTATCACTTTCTTAGCGTGTACTCAAGTTGAAATGCCACCTTTGATGGGAATTGAGGTAAGTTATTGAAATTAGTTGTTGCCTATGAGTCCTTGTTTAAAACGATTTTATAGGTTCTATTAGAAGCTATTATTTTCCTTTTTGTAATCCTATAACAAATGAAATTGGGTTCAGTTTGTCAATGTCACTAATGACTGGAACTTTTAGACCCATTTTCTCTTTTATGTTTTTCTTTGCTAGATTCATTTGGGCCAATAAGAGCATCACCAATAACAAATTGTATTTTAGCTACCCAAAAAAAAACTTTTTTTATTTTAACTACTCACTTTTTCAATACACACTCTAATAGATTTTTTATATTTTTAACTCCTTCTTTTAAATATTATTTCTCATTCCTTTTACATTATTTTTTGGGGGAATAATGAAAGGGAGAAAGAGAGAGAATNATAACAAATTGTATTTTAGCTACCCAAAAAAAAACTTTTTTTATTTTAACTACTCATTTTTTCAATACACACTCTAATAGATTTTTTATATTTTTAACTCCTTCTTTTAAATATTATTTTTCATTCCTTTTACATTATTTTTTGGGGGAATAATGAAAGGGAGAAAGAGAGAGAATGGAAGAAGAAGAGGAAGAGAGAGAAAATAATATAAAAGATGTTTACAAGTTGCTACAGTGATACTCTATATTTAGAATATCAATTGTAACAAAAATCTATTTTTGAGTATATGAACAACATCTATTGGAGCATGACTTTTGACTTTGGTTAGCTAAATTATAGCTATTTTGACCATTTACAACATCTGTTGGAGGTGCTCTTAAGGCATGAACAAGGATCAGATCATTGATAAAATTTTTGGACTCATTATCATCCCATTTTCTCTTTTATCTTTCCCATTATGTTTTACGAGATTTTCTTTGACATCATATGTGAGATTCATCTGAATAACACATGGACCCGGTTTGATGAGTGTGCCCCAATTGAACCGGATGTTTGTTGTAACAAGTGACCCAATTCCATTCTAGTGCAAAACAACCTCAATTTTACAAACAACATTTGTACAAATAAATATGGTTACAAATTTGTAAAATATACAACATTTGGTGCAAATCCATAAATATTACAAAATTGGACCAATTGACGCAATTTAAACATATACATTTCAAATCTTATAGTTTGTGCACTTCCCTATTTCTCCCAATGCACACGCTATCTGCAACTAAGGGGATATAAAGCACGAGAAGCAAAATAAATTCACAATATGACAAAAGTATAGATAATCAAATACCAAATACAACATGGGTAACATAAATGACAAATGTATTATCAATCATATGATATGCAATCACACCATTCTCACTTTGAGCTTTTCGGATTTGAGTCCTAAAATTTGGATTTATATTGGATTTGAGTCACTAGTTGGACCTTTAGAGGATTTAAGTCCTTCGGCTGGGTCTTACTCAACTTTAGTATAAAAATTAAATTGGAATTTCAAAAGGATAATAGCTTAATCAATTGAAGTACAAATCAACAGGAACCAAAGAAATACTCCTTCAAAGATATTTAAGTTTATATTGTAAATCACCCCACTTACCCAATCCTCAATTGACATAGATAAATAGCACCTTAAATGCCTTAGGACCAACATATTCAAATTTCATTAAAGTTGGATCATATATCATAGTTTGATTTCTTGATCTAACATTTTTCAATTTAGCGTTACTTTTTAATTTGATTTGTTTCGTTTCGTTCCTTACACGTTAGGTTTTCATCATTCACCAACAGAGTCATACTTTGTCTTTTCAAATTACACCTTAGCACACAACACATATGATATGATGCATGACAAATGTACACCTTTATTTTCTTTTACTTTTTTTTATTCTTTTCACTTATCTTCTCATTTGTTTATTATATAATATATGCATATTTGTATAAAAAATAACATATCAACGTGCAGCCTACATAGCTCATAGTAATCATTTTCAAAAACTAAATTATCTCCTCATAACTTTTAGTTATATTTTGAGCCTAAAATAGAATTAGTAGCTTCAGATTTTTTAGATAATCATTTTCAAGAACTACATTATCTCCTCATAACTTTTAGTTATATTTTGAGCCTAAAATTGAATTAGTAGTTTTAGAATTGTAGATTTACCCAATATATCTATAGCACTAGTTAATTTCAATTGATTTATTTAGACCCAGTTAATTTCAGTTGATTTATTTAGACTGGATGTTACACTAGTGATGTTTGTGTTTAGTGTTATTTAAGCCGTAAAACAAACCAAAGCTACCAAGACTCCTAAAGTCTAGGCAAGAAGCGAAGCGAAATGCTTCATCAAAACGAAGCGAACAGTTAAAAAAAAGTAAATATTTTAGTATAATTACTTCTAAATATCTAAGTTCTAATTTTACAAATATTAAATATTTAATTGCAAACAAAACCATAAACATTTAAATTTAAACAAACACTAATAATATATTCAATCTTAATGACAGTCATAATTTAAACATTTAAATTCAGAAAAGTAGCACTACTATCAGCAAAATCAGTATTATAGAAAATCAGAATCAGCATAAATAAGCAGTATAGAATCAACAGAAAGAAGTATTACAGAAAATAAGTAAAAGCAATACAAAAAATCAGCATTAAACATTACAGAAAATCAGTAGAAGTAGAGATCAATAGAATTAGTAAAATCAGGATTAAGTAGAGAAAATTAGCATTAAATTAGAGGCAAAAAAAAGCAGAATCAACATTATAGAAAAAAGCAGAATCAAAAAAATCAGCATTAAGCAAAATCAACATCAGAGAAGCAAAACCAGAAGCAGAGAAACAAAAACAAAATCAGAATCAGAACCAGAACCAATAGCAAANTCAAATTAGAGGCAAAAAAAAGCAGAATCAACATTACAGAAAAAAGTAGAATCAAAAAAATCAGCATTAAGCAAAATCAACATCAGAGAAGCAAAACCAGAAGCAGAGAAACAAAAACAAAATCAGAATCAGAACCAGAACCAATAGCAAAAGCAGAAGCAGAAAAAGAGAAGCAAGAAGCAGAAGTAGAGTTAGAAGAAGAGGCAGAAGCAGAAACAAAGAAACATAACTAGAACCAGAAGAAGAATCAGCAGAAGAAGAGGAGAGAAGAGAACATATTTTTGTTGTCGAAGAAGAAGACAGAAGCAGCAGTCTAAGTAGGAGATGCAGCAAGGTACTAGTATTTTCTCTCAAAGAAGAAGAAGAAAAAGAAGAATAAAAAAGTAGAAGAAGAAGATGAGGAGGAGAGAAATAAAGAAAAAGTAGGTACCTCTGTGTGGTGTGTTTTGTCGAAGACGAAGATAAAAGCAATGGATGCAAAATTTTTTGTTGAAGAAGAAGAAAAAGAATTAAAAGAAGAAGAGAAATGGAGAAGAAGAAGAGAAATAGAAGAGAGAAGAAGAAGAGAGGGGCAAACTTGTGGGAGCAACGAGGAAGGAGCAGTAGTAGCAATCCTCTGACCTTTAGGCAAAATTAGGGTTTGGGTGTTGAATATATTGGGATAAGGGGGCAATTGGGTGTATGGGCATCTCACAATTTTGTTCCAATTGGCTCAATCTAACGGTCCATAATAAAAATCAAACAATCCAACGATTCATAATAATAATAAAAAACAACTTAAAAAACTTAACTAAGGTGTTGCTTTTCTCGTTTTTTGCTTAAGCGAGAGGCGCTCGCTTTTTCATCACCTTAGTAATGTTCGCTTTGCTTGGGTTGTTTAAGGCAAGCCACCCACGCCTCGTCTCGCTTCGCTTCTTGCTTAGGTGAGCTATTCACAACATTGTTTGTGTTAGTGGTTTTTGCTTGAGTTTTTATGTGGTCGTGTGTGTGCTGAATGGTGCATCTTACTATTAGACATAGAATAATAGGTTTTCTCGGAATGCAAGACTTCTCTCGTATTGTTACTAAATTTTCATGGACTGTTAAAACTTTTCTCAGTATTAGGTTTTTGATAGTGTCACAATGCTAGTGCGAATTCCTTTTTTGAGTTGGTATAGCTTTGGCTGTTAGAATGAGATTTTTTTTGTGGAATGTGTTTCTCACTAAGTAATATAGTGATTTTAATATAGCTTTTTTAACAATGAAAAATAGAAGGTTTCTAGTGATTTAAGACAAAAAGTATTCTGATCTGAACACTGAATCTACCGTAGCACCTGACAATTCCTTAATTTGTAGAACAAAAGGTGAATATGGTATTGATCAATTGATTTACTTCTTGGTGCTTTCATAATTGGAATGTTTCAATGGGGTTAATTCTGAATAGCTCACAGGACAGGATAACACTCCTACAATATTAATTAGCATGTAGCAAATACCATTTTCTCAAGCTGATCAAAAGAAAAATTATTGATGGAGATCAAACAGGAATTGGGTAAACTTGAATTCAAGTTTTGAATGAACTAGGATTAATTTTATTATTTATTCGTTAGATTTTTTAAATAAGAAATATTTGTTTGAGTAGGATTGTTGTGATAGTAAGAGTTTGACTTGAAAATTATTAGTCTTAGTTGGAGAGTAATTTGAGAATTTGGTTAAAATTTTAATAGGAGAGTAGTTTTTGTTCTGNTGTGATAGTAAGAGTTTGACTTGAAAATTATTAGTCTTAGTAGGAGAGTAATTTGAGAATTTGGTTAAAATTTTAATAGGAGAGTAGTTTTTGTTCTGGTAGAAAACTTGACCTATAAATATTGATGTAATTCTTACTATTTTATTTAGAGAGAGTGATATTAATAAAAGTGTTTCTTTGCGAATAATTTATGTGTTTTTTGAACTAATCTTTGCGAGGATTCAGTATCTCTTCTTCTTTTGTGTGCTATTTCTATTCTCTGGTTTCTTCTCCTCTCCATCCCGTATCAATTTTCTCAAAACTTTTTCAAGATCTCAATTAGGACTAGGGGCAATAAGATAATGAGTGTGCACATGCAGGCTATTCTTGGTGATGGACAACATTTTCCTTCCAAAATGCTGTTTTTTAAGTGATTGGAGGCTCATGCTAATGGTGCTTCGAATTGGCAAAACAGACTGGTCTAGCAAATTGCTTAGATACTCTAAAAATAGTTGTTAAAGGATGAAGAACTTGTATCTGAAGCTCAACCAACAACTTAGTGCTATTAGCTCCTATCATTTTTTTTATGATACTTTCAGTTGTTTGCCCCTCCATC